TACTTATGTATGTGATTCCCATCTATCTATCTATCTATCTATCTATTCCATCTATATCTATCTATCTATCTATCTATCTATCTTCCATCTATCTACTATCTATCTATCTATCTATCTATCTATCTATACACGTATGTGTGATTCCATCTACTATCTATCTATCTATCTATCTATCTATCTATACACGTATGTGATGTCTACTTCCATCTATCTATCTATCTATCTATCTATCTACTATATATCTATCTATCTATACACATCGCTATCTATCTATATGTGATTCCATCTACTATCTCTATCTATATACACGTATGTATGTGATTCCATCTATCTATCTATCTATCTATCTATCTATGATCTATACACCATCTATCTTCTATCTATCTATCCATCTATCTATCTATGCTATGTATGTGATTCCATCTATCTATCTATCTATCTATCTATACACGTATGTATGTGATTCCATCTATCCATCTATCTATCTATACACGTATGTATCTATCCCATCTACATCTATGTATCTATCTATACACGTATGCATCTATCTATCTATCTATCTATCTATCTATCTATCTATACACGTATCTATCTAATCTATCTATCCATGTACTATCTATCTATCTATCTATCTATCTATCTATCTATCTATACACGTATGTATTCCATTCCATCTATCTATCTATCTATCTATCTATCTATACACGTATGTGATTCCATTTTCTATCTATCTATCTATCTATCTATACACATGTATGTGATTCCATCTACTATCTATCTATCTATCTATCTATCTATCTATACCATGTGATTCCATCTATCTATCTATCATCTATCTATGTGATTGAGTAGGTATGTGATTCCATCTACTATCTATCTATCTATCTATCTATCTATCTATCTATCTATCTATACAAGTATGTATGTGATTCCATCTACTATCTATCTATCTATCTATCTATCTATATACACGTATGTATGTGATTCCATCTACTATCTATCTATCCATCTATCTATCTATCTATCTATATATCTATACAACATCTACTATCTATCTATCTATCTATACACGTATGTATGTGATTCATCCATCTATCTATCTATCTATCTACGTCTATCTATACACGTGTATGTGATTCCATCTACTATATCTATCTATCTATCTATCTACTATCTTATTCCATCTATATCTATCTATCTATCTATCTATCTATCTATCTATCTATACACGTATGTATGTGATTCCATCTACTATCTATCTATCTATCTATCTATCTATGTGATTCCATCTACTATCTATCTATCTATCTATCTATAGTATGTATGTGATATCTATCTATACACGTATGTATGTGATTCCATCTATCTATCTATCTATCTATCTATACACGTATGTATGTGATTCCATCTACTATCTATCTATCTATCTATCTATCTATCTATCTATCTATCTATACACGTATGTATGTGATTCCATCTACTATCTATCTATCTATCTATCTATCTATCTATCTATCTATCTATACACGTCATTCATCTATATCTATCTATCTATCTATCTATCTATCTATCTATCTATACACGTATGTATGTGATTCCATCTATCTATCTATCTATCTATCTATCTATCTATCTATCTATCTATACACGTATGTATGTGATTCCATCTATCTATCTATCTATCTATCTATCTATACACGTATGTATGTGATTCCATCTACTATCTATCTATCTATCTATCTATCTATCTATCTATCTATCTATCTATCTATCTATATGTATGTGATTCCATCTACTATCTATCTATCTATCTATCTATCTATCTATACACGTATGTATGTGATTCCATATCTATCTATCTATCTATCTATCTATACATATGTATTCCATCTATTCATCTACTATCTATCTATCTATCTATCTATCTATCTATCTATCTATCTATACATTATATATATGTGATTCCATCTACTATCTATCTATCTATCTATCTATCTATGTCTATCTATATCTATCTATCTATATCTATCTATCCATCTATCTATTATTGATTCCATCTACTATTCTCTATCTATCTATCTATATCTATGTGATTCCATCTACTATCTATCTATCTATCTATCTATACATCTATCTATCTATCTCTATCTATCTATATGTATCTATCTATCTATCTATCTATCCATCTACTATATCTATCTATCTATCTATCTATCTATCTATACACGTATGTGATTCCATCTACTATCTATCTATCTATCTATCTATCTGTCTATCGGACACTATGTATGTGATTCCATCTATCTATCTATCTATCTATCTATCTATCTATCTATCTATCTATACGTATGTATGTGATTCCATCTACATCTGTCTATCTATCCATTCCATCTATCTATCTATCTATCTATCTATCTATCTATCTATCTATCTCTATGTGATTCCATCCCATCTATCTATCTATCTATCTATCTATCTATCAATCATCTATCTATCTATG